CATTCTCTCTCTCTCTCTCTCTCTCTCTCTCTCTCTCTCTCTCTCGCTGTATATGTTCTCAAATATATCAAATTTCGAGGCCATTTTTATAAATCTAATTATTTTATCAATATTGATTTGATTCGATAATTGAGTTTTTCATTTCTTTCTTCATTTTGAAAATTTCATTTCATTTGGTCGTTAATTTGATCAAAAAAAAAAACTTCTACGGAATCACAAGACGATTATATACACTGAAGAATGTCAATGAATTACTAATCTAATATAGAAAGTAGAGAGGAAAAATATGTGGAGAAAATTATCATTTTTTTTTTTGGTTTTAAGGAATTATCATCGAATGAAATGAAAATACAAGTTTGATGCTGCTCAAATGGCCATCCATTTTTATTTATCCTGTTCTTCATGTTCTTCATTTTCTTCGTTTTTCTTCTTTCTTTCGTTTTCCATTTTTTTTCCTTAATTGTAATTAATATTTCAATTTGCCGATTACACACATTACATGCATACATACATTGAAATTGAAAGACAGACACATTTTTAAAAGGCAATCCAATAATGAATTATCGCTTGTTATTTCGAAAAATAATAATAATCATCATCATTAATTACATAAATTAAATTGTCCATTTACAAGCATCGAAAAGCAAAAGCAGAAAAAATGAATAATTTTGAAAATTCAATTTAATTTCTCTCTCTCTCTCTTCTTTTGCTATGTTATTTCTGACATTTTCAGATTAGAAGAAATTTTTTTTTCTCATCAAAATGACAGAGATGAAGCAAAACAACAACAAAAAGAAAATCCTATTTGTCTTATGATGATGATGATGATGTTGGAAGTGTAAATGAAGATAAGAAAATTATTATGAACAAAATTTGATTGGTTTGATTCAGTTGATTAGTTTGGTTGGTTGGTTGATTGGCGTGGGTATTCTATATGTATTCTGTTTTAATATGCAATCAATTTGGTTAATGATGACCATTACTAATTATCATCATCATCATTATTATTTAGTTAATGTTTACAATGAATGACATTAATGTTTTTAAAAGAATCAAAAATCAAAAATCAAATGCAGCTGCTGCCTAATCGATTTATTGAAGAAGAAAAAAATGAAAAATGATATTTGGATTTAATTAAGTTGTAAAATTATCATTTTTGTCTTTTTTTCCTTAAAAAATAACCAAATATAAATGTTTTTTCATCCAAAGCAATTGATAATTGATATTCCATTGCTGTCCATGTAATGTAATAATTGATTTTTTTTGAATAACTAAATTAAGTAAATTTTCAAGTTAACAAACAAAAAAACGATAATGATGATTATGAAGAATATTAAGTTATCAATCATAATTTCATTGATATCTTAGTGGTAGTAGGCCAGATCATCGCATGAATATTATTCTTTTTTGAACGAATTTATCATCATTTCCATTCATCCACATATATCATTATTGGCCATTTATAATGATAGTGTTGTCGATATATAAAGCTTAATGGTGGTTATGATGATGATGGTGGTGGTTAATGTTGTTCTTCAAGTCGTCGATCGACAACATTTTTTTTGACCATCGTCGAATGATGATGATCAATGATGAGATAATAGCCATCGTAACATGTCTGTCTGCCATAGATATCTGTATTTAAATTACAAAAATAAAAAAATATTTGTTAATAGCTATCATACATACATATCATCATCATGTTGATAATAACCATTCGGTCAATAATAAATGGTTGAAAATTATTATCAAATTGAAAGAAAACTAGATGATTTTCTTTCCAATAAATAACTAATTGATCATTGTTTGGTTAACCACACACATGGATTTAATAACTTGAAAAAAAACGTAACTGTATTGGAATTTTGTATCTGTTTAAAAGAATTTACTAAATACTCAATACTCAATGATGATAATCAATATGTTTTCGGAGATTTTATATCACGTTTATCAAATTAAAATTCAGTGTTTTTTTTCTTAATTTCATTGTGCTTCTCGTGAAAACATTATATCAAAAATATTGTTTACATTCAAAATTATTATCCACCGCAATGTAATCCAAGGTTAATTGGATTCAACAACAATAACAACAACAAAAACATCAATCATAATAGCTAATTGATTTGAACAAAAATGAGACACCTGAATTATAATGATAATATAATAATAATAATATGTGAAAGTTATCAATCAAAAAACAAAAGCATTATGATTACAAATCTATTATATTAAAAACCATTTTTTTTCCCATAAACAATGATTATTATAATGATAATTAAATACATTTTTGGGTATTATTTTCTGTTTTTCCCCCGGATATTAAAAAAATTTGACTGATTTTTTTTCATTTAATCTATACTCTATTGTACAGAGAGGAATTGGCCATGCGTGTTGATTTGACCGAAGCAAGAGTTCAGGTATGTTTTAAAAAAAATTGTCCAAAAAACAACAAAATCATGATTATTTTGGATTATTTTAATGATAATCTTGAGATTAATTGAAATGAAATTTTCTTTTCTTTTTTTAATTTGAATCCAAAATGATTAAAAATTCAAGGTTTGGTTTCAAAATCGTCGTGCTAAATGGCGTAAACAGGAAAAAACAACAACAACAACACCAACAACAATGACAATAACAACATCAACAACACCTACTACTATTGGTAGTAATAATAATAATGGTGGTGGGGGAAGTGGTGGTGGACAATCATCGGGTAATGGCAATAATAATGGTTCCAATAATAATAATATTCATTCATCATCACCTCATCAATCATTTTATCATCAAACTGCGCATCATCCGTATGGTGTAGGTGGAATATCTAATTTAATGATACCAACATCAACATCATCATCATCATCACCACCACCATTACATTGTACATCATTTAATAATAACGGTAATACTGGCAGTAGTAGTAGTCATAGTATTAGTCCATTACATTTAGTACCGCCTACACTTCCGTCTCATTCATCAACATTGGCGCCGCCTACTTCAATATCATCATCAACATCATCATCATCATCAACATCATCGGCAACATCATTGCATAATCAAGCGAATAATAATAATGATCCAACATCATCATTATTGACACCGATTTCATCCGCATCATCATCGATAAATCATCAATTTTTTGGATCACATGCAGCAGCTGCAGCAGCTGCTGCTGCTGCTGCATTATCTGCTGCATATCGTAAACAAGCAATGGCTAATATGTTGCAGCAACAGCAACCAACAACGCCCACATCATCATCATCATCATCAGCTTTATTAGAACAGTCAATAAAATCCTGTATGTCAAATTATGCAAATAGCAATTCAATGCTTGGACCAAATCTTTCATTTGGATTTCCAGCCACTAATGCATTTGCAATGCGTGAATTAGGTTTAGCATATTCACATTTATTTCCACCACCACCTCCACCACCACCACCACCGCCATCTCAATCATCATCAACAACATCACCATTTGGAAATATATCACCATTTTTTTCACCATATGCTTCAGCAACAAATTCATTTCAAAGTCTTTTAGCATCATTATCATCATCATCACCAACATCTAATACAGCGCAACATTTACAGAAAAATAAATCATTATATGATGATGCTATAACAAAATTATCAATGCAATTTCCCACCAATATTAACACCAATTCATCAATTGGTAATCCTTTGTTAGATATACCGAATAGTATGGCACCAACATTGAATAGTCTTTTTCATTATCATCAACAAAATAATCAACAACAGCAGCATCATTGTTCATCATCACCACCATCAACAACAGCAATGGATAATAATCGTATACGATCATCAATAAAATCACCATCAATCAATGATAATGATGATGGATCAATAATGAAATCATCAACAACAGCAACAGGAACATCATCTTCATTAATGATATTAACTGGTAGTGATGATGATTCACAAACAGATATTAGTGAAAATTCATCACCAAATCATAATAGTAAAAATGAACATCAACATCATCAACAACAACAACAACATTCATCAAGATCACCATCACCATCACCATTATTATGCAATAAAGATGAAACATTATCATCAACAAACAATGATCAATCAATATCGACAAATTCGGGTAAATCATCATCATCATCATCATCGGCTACTACTACTAATACAAATATTGCTGCAACAATTTAGTCAATACAATTCTAAAAAAAATGGAAAAAAAGTGAAAAATTCAGTAAAACAATTACCACCAAAGCAAACAAAGCAAAAAGAAAATAAGCAGTATTTTTTAGTCAAAAAAAAAATTCTTCTGAATCATCATCATTATCAATTTCATTTTCATTTTCATTATCATTTCGTGATTCTTGTCGAAATTCTTTTTAGTTTTTTCAAGAAAAACACATTGTAAACATACACAAACGACCTAGACTCAAATTATTTATTTGATCATCCTCATCATCATTGATATTGAAAAAAATTTTCAAATACCATTCTCATCATCATCATCATCAACTTAACAAGATAATCACGTTTGTTTTGTTTTGATTTGTTTGTTTCTGTGTAAAAAAAAATTATCAAACATTAAAGGAATGTTCACGAAATTCCCAAAAAAATGACTATTTTAGTTATTATCAACTAATTGATCATATAAACATCACCAATACTACTACTACTATTAGATAAAATATAACAATTTGTATCAACGATCATCATAATCATCATTAAAAAATTATTTCGTGAAAATTCATTGAACAAAATCATTATTATGATATGATATTCATTACAAACATTCATTGGCTAATTATTATTATTATCAATTTTCATTACATTCTTTAATTATAATTGTCATTATAAATCGAAAAAAAAATTACAAAATGATGATCATCATTTCGTTTGTTTGCTTGTTTATTTTGTTCTGATAATGTTTGTAACAATTAACCTTTGAAAGTTTGAAAAATTTAGAAAAAAAAATTCTTTTGTTTTTTTTCACCCACACATAAACACGACAATAAAAACACAATTATCAATTATCAAACTTCGAAAAAACAAAACAAAACAAAACATTCATTACATTTGATCAATCAAAGAAAAGAAAAGAAAAGAAATTAAAAATCCTATAATAAATAAATAAATGAAAAAAAAAATTATTTGAAATTTTCGTTCGGTGGTTTCAAAATTCAATTGATGCTTTCTGTGTGTTTGTTTGCTTGTGTCTTGCTTGCGTTTTGGTTGCCAATTTTTTTCCCTAATTTGATTCATTTGATGGTTTTTCTTTTCTACTCTTTTCGGATATAAATGGATGGCCTCAATTTTGTTTCAGTGTTTCTCGTTTTGTTCTGTTGTTTCAAACTATAAATTATCTTTAATTGAATAATAATTTATAGTCCATAATCATTATTTGGAATGATTTTCTTTTTCTTTCGTTGATGATGATGCATTTTGAAGTAATTTTTCGGTAAAATTGGAGCAATTTTCTTCGTTTCNACATTAAACTTTAATGATTAAAGGAATGTTCACGAAATTCCAAAAAAATGACTATTTTAGTTATTATCAACTAATTGATCATATTAACATCACCAATACTACTACTACTATTAGATAAAATATAACAATTTGTATCAACGATCATCATCATCATCATTTAAAAAATTATTTCGTGAAAATTCATTGAACAAAATCATTATTATTATTATGATATTCATTACAAACATTCATTGGCTAATTATTATTATCAATTTTCATTTCATTCTTTAATTATAATTGTCATTATAAATCAAAATTACAAAATGATGATGATCATTTCGTTTGTTTTGTTCGAAACAATTAACCTTTGAAAGTTTGAAAAATTCTTTTGTTTTTTTTTTGTTTTCACCCACACATAAACACGAAAACAAAACACAATTATCAATTATCAAACTTTGAAAAACAAACTAACTAAACAAAACAAAACATTCATTATATTTGATCAATCAAAGAAAAGAAAAGAAAAAAATCCTATAATAAATAAATAAATGAAAAAATTATTTCAAATTTTTGTTTGGTGGATAAAATTCAATTGATGCTCTCAGTGCTTATGCGTTGTGGTTGCCGAATTTTTCTCTAATTTGATTCATTTGATGGTTTTTTTCTGATATAAATGGATGGCCTCAATTTGTTTCAGTGTTTCTCGTTTTGGTCTGTTGTTTCAAACTATAAATTATCTTTAATTGAATAATAATTTATAGTCCATAATCATTATTTGGAATGATTTTCTTTTTCTTTCGTTGATGATCAACATCATTTTGAAATAGATTTTTTTCGGTAAAATTGGAGCAATTTTCTTCGTTTCTTTTCAGTCAAAATGAATGTATAAAACAACAGACACGACAAGAACCATTTACATTACATTCGTTATATAGGATGTTTCCATTTATCATTTTCTTTCTTTCTTTCTTTGTCTATGATGTTTGCCTAAATAATTTAATTTCTTAGCCATCTTGGCTAATAAACCCAGTCAATTTTTTCATGCACTTTAAGATTGTAAAATTGAATAAGTTAAGTAACTTCAATCGCGATTAAATAAACTTAATCAACTTATCAATCAATCAATCAATCATTTTGTTTTGTATTGATTGATTGATTGTGAATTCAATAAATCACAAATTAGCAAAATTTCAAATGGAAAAATTGATCATTTATGGTTCCATTCTATTGATCATCATTCATCATTGATCAACCTTTTATCGATCAATTTTTTTTTTTGGCCAGCCAATATCAAATTATCATTTTCTACATTTATTTAACTCGAAACTGAATTTGATGCATGGATAACTTTCAAGCTATACACACACATTTTTTTTGGTGGGGAAAGAATGTTGTAATTTTCAAAAAAATCTATAGATTTCATTCATCATTTCACGCAAAAAAAAACTAACTAACTATATCGATCTAATTGACTCAACAATATAATTTTTTTTTGTTGGTTGTTCAAAAATTCAATTATGGTTTGAATTTCCATCATATTTGATCTTTGATGACGACGACGACAATTTTCTTTCATCAACAGAAAAAAGGTAACCAAACAACAACAACAACAGCAAAAAAAAAAAGACAAAAATTGAACCAAGGTGTGTGATGGATGATGACATTTTTGTTATGATCACATTCATTATGATCATATTGCATGATGTTTTCATGATGATGATGATCATTATAATAATCACATGATGACGATGATGACAGGACAGACTGTATATAGACCAAAAATAACAACAAGAATCTTGTTGTTTGATGATTACACCTTGGATATTGATCAATAAGGAAAAAAACCAATATTTTTTCTTACCTGGCAAAGGTAAAAAATTCAATTTAATTTTGTTATTTTTTTAAAAAAAGAAAAAAAAAATCGATAACAATGTTTACACAATAAACAACAACTACACTGCATATTACACATCAACGTCAAATTATTGTTTGTTTGGAAAATTGGCAAATTGGAATTCATTTTTTTGAATCTCCCTTAATTTTGTTTACTTTATTCAGTTATCAATTACTATTTTTTGAGTTATTAGTTAGTTAGGTAGTTTAGTTTTCTTTAAAAAATGACTAATTATTTCATAATCCTGTCAATCATTTTTTAAAAAACAAAACGGAAAAAACAATCTTTTTCGAAACAACAACAGCTAATTGATCCAAACAAATTGATCCAATGTCAAATGAATTGATTGCGTGTTTGTGTGTGAGAATATTTTCCTTTTTTTTGTTTTTTTTTTGTTTCGTTGTTCAATAATGCTCATAATCAATTATCAGTTGTTAATATTGTCAGAAAACAAAAATTACTTAAAACAAAACTTTTGAAAACTGGAAAAAAAACTAATCATATTTTGACAAAATTATGTCATAATTTCACTAACCATTTATTCGCAAATAGTCATTTTCACCCAAAAAGATAATAAACTGGAAAAATGAAATGAAATTTTTTGGATTACAATCCATAATCATCGTGATAATGATGATTATAATAATCATAATAACCGAAATGAACGAAAAAGAATTGTAAATTGAAAATCTCCTTTGATCAATCGTGATATTTTCATTTTCATTTTTACCAAATCAAAAAAACCAAAACCAGAAACCAAATTAAAAAAATGAAAATGAAAATGTAAATCTCCTGATCCAAATGAATCCATGTTCACATATTGTTGTTGTTGTTGTTGTGATTGTCGTTATTATTTTATGATTCGTTTGTTTGTTTGTTTGTAAAAATAAAATGAACTTTATTATAAAAATCAATTAACAATATAATTAACATTCAGTGTGTTTTAATTTTCTACGTTTTTTTTTATTTCTCATTTTGGTTTAATATCACACAAACATAATAATAATAATAACATCGACATTAAAAAAACAACATAGTATGGTCGTAATAAATGTAATTTTCGTTCGTTTTTCATTTCGGTTTTGGTTTGGTTTTTGGTGATTAAATGAAAAGCAAAGCCAGTGGGGAAGAGAATAAAAAAATGTCAAATCAAGTATGGATTAATTTATTTCTCGTTGCTTGTTTGTTGTATGTTTTTTTTTCTCCCAAATTTTAATCCTGTTTAAATGAAAATGAAACTGGTTTTCTGGACGTTGATGATGATGATGATGATGACCTTATCCAGGTAAAATTACTGTAGCGTTACTGTTTTTTTCAGTCTTTCTGTGTGTCTGTTTCGACACGTATTACACAAGGGAAATATTAACTTCACGGGGGAAAAACATAGCAAAAACACCATCGATCCTAAAAGACAGGAAAAGTAGGGGGTGTTTTTCGGTTCTAGAAATGATTTTGACCATCATAATTCCATGTTGTTGTTGTCAAAATGAATTACATATCATCATTGGAAGAATCCAACAACAACCAAACAACAATCAGAAACAAAAAATCTCACCAAAATAACATTGATCATTTGAATGTATAATGATCATTTGTGTGTGATCATTAGCTCATCATCAATGGCTAAATGGCTAAATTACGTGCTAATGGTTTTTTTTTCACTGAAGTTTATGAAAAATTAGGAATAAGCCAGAAGCAGCAGCAGAAAAATTTTCAATTCAAAAAAAAACATGATTTTTTTGTTTCTGATTCAATTGGAAAAAGATATATTTTTTTAATTCAATTTTTTTCCATTTTCAATCATCATCATCAACAACCATAATTTACATAAAACCTATTTGGTTATCTTTGATCGAAATTCTTTTTATCAAATAATCTGGTTGCAAATGGATAATGAAAAATTTATCATTTCCAGGTA